CCCCAAATGGTCTGACAAAGGTGAGGAAACTTCTGAGCAAACTGAAGCATCATGCGGAAACACTAACAAACTAGATGCTTTCTTATATGAAAAGATTGCGCCAAGATCCAGAGCCCTGCTTATATCTAATTAAAGAGCATTTTTCGAGCCATAGAAGTTTACTTTGATTAAACTGTAATGGCTTTTGTATGTGATATCCTTCGCTGCCGAGGATGATGAGAAACGGCCCTCCTCGATTTACTAAAGAGTGGCTTAGTTGAATTCAGATGACTATGTGGAAATCTTGACCACGAGGGTGGCCAATAATAGACTAACTGTTAAGCGGCAGCAGCACTCTGACTAGTTCAGGAACCCAAGGAAAATGCAAAAAATGGATTCTCAACTAATTTCTCACAATTATATCTTCATTTAAAAATAAAGGGCACTTATTAATTTACAAAGCTTCGCTTTAATATTCAGGTTAATGAACAATTTTTTTGGTTTTTATTATTCATCAAACCATTGTACTCTTTATTTTTATATTTCTGCGAATTGACTTAAGGCGCAAATGTAGTCTTCCTGTCAGCCGATTCAGCAAACACTTTCCCTTCTTTAGCCTGACTTATTAAATTGCGCCTACAGTTATTTCATGAAAATTAAATTCCACTAAAGATAACATGCATATAGATGAATGTATATTAAATGCTATCAAATTGGCATCATGAAGACGTTTAACTTTTCGAAATCAATACTAAACTTTCAAAGTGAATTAGAGTAATGATAGAAGATGGTGTTGTCATAGTAAAGAAATTGACAAGACTATTGTTTTGCCTCTGAATGGTTGATATCAAAACATGGAAGTCGCTACAAAATATGATTCAAAGGCTGCTCTGAAGAATTATCATATTGCTATGATTTCATCAGCTTGCTTATATAATCTGGTTATAATAAAGACAGTTATTGCAAGATCTCTAATATAATATGCAAGACTATGTTGCCTAAATACTTTAAAAATGATCACCAACGCTACTTTCGACATAATAGTACATATGGGGTTTTCTTCTAACCTTTCAATTTCTCGTCATTTCACAATTAAATCCCAGAAACAACATAATCTAGTACCTTGTCATCGTAACATATATTTCAATTAAATCAAAACAGTAATACCCAAATACTTAACGCGGGTTCCAAAGAAGAAAGAAGCTATTAAAAGTGAAAAACTCACAATACCTCTTAGTCCAAGAAATGAAATATTTTCATGAAAATATTATAACGCATACCTAACAAAATATTACAATGTTATTACCAGTTGCATATTAGTCCATTGTATTTTTGGGACAGAAACTTTTGGAAAATAGCAAGAAAGAATTAATCAGGGATAAAACAAGAAAATTGAACCATTTAACCTTTATGATACCACTTGGATTCAATAAGACACGCTTTCAATGAAGATAAAAAATCATATCTCAAAATAGAAATAAACTAAACAAATAATAAAAGCGTTTCAAACCTAACATACTACTAATATTGGTGATAAGCAATTGAATTTTTGTAAAATCTTAATTGTAATAGATTTGACAAAGCTTAAACCTTTTCTGCGTTTTTTGAAATTTATTGGCTTCGTTGCATTCTTGTGTCCACACGTGTGCGATTTTTATAAAGGTTTAATCCTCCCATGGCTTCAATTTAATTACTTATTTATTTGGAGTTTTAAAAATAATATTTGTTTTATATGCTTGCCTTAGTTTTATGATCTTTTGCAAAATATTTATTTTTTCTGTATTGTGATAGAATGGCCGAAGTTGATTTAGATGAAATTTTCGGTACTAGTCAAAATGGCAATAAAACAAAATCACTTGAAAGATCCGTATTTATTCAGTTTGTTGATACCAATGGCGAAGAAACTGGAACGCCTATATTTGTACCTTGCAGCAGTTCAGTTTCAGCTCTCACGGATATCCTTACAACTCTTCGTGAAAATGTGAAACGAATCATTTTTCTATATCATTAATCTGATTACTTTAGGATTCTAATGAGCCAAAAGTGTACGAATTCTTCATTGGTGAAACTCAAATCTTAGATGATCTTGCCTCCGGCATATCTCAATTTACCGCAGCTCAAAAGCTCGTTCAAGATACTGTTGAATCAGGCGCAATCACAGAATCAGTTGTCAAGGTAACTTACCAGGCTCAAGCAGTGTTTCGAGTCCGACCAGTCACAAGGTGTACTAGTACCATTCCTGGTCATAAAGGCGCTGTTTTGGTTGCCCTCTTCTCTCCTGATGCAAGGTGAATTTATTTACCCTGATATATTGGTACATTTAAAATTTTGTACTTAAAAGCCTGATTGAGATTTGGGTTAGCCTTTCATTGCCAATTGTTCGAACGTTTGTTTGAAGAATTTGTTATTCATTTGCCTGTTGTCCCTGTTTTTCCTAGTTAGTTATGTTGAAGCATTTAAAAGCAACTATCTAGCAATTGGTTATGCATTTAAGTGCGTTTAAACGTGAAGTTGATTGGAAGATGAATTTACGGATTGGTCATTTACTTTTCGACAGCATTTTAACGGCCTATAAATGATAATCGTTTGTATTCGAGGAACCGATGGTACTTATGAAGGGTTGGATTTTACTTTCCAACTAGATGAGATAATTTGTGGGGCTTTCTTCGTGGTGTTGATTTATTCCGTTTGCTGCTTTAGCTTCTTTGCTCTAACCTCAATGCTTTCAGGATCATTAATCTAACCATCCTGGCTTTGGATTATTTTGCTGCACAAAATGACTCAATTTTCTATTAAGGGCTCTCGCAACCGGTTCCGGTGACCACAGCGTACGATTCTGGGACCTCAACACGGAACTCCCTCAGAATGTTGTCACCAGCGCTCATACATCGCCAGTTCTCTGTCTCGCTTGGTCACCTGATGGTCTTAAGCTAGCCTCAGGTTGTCAAGGAGGTTACATTTATCTCTGGAAACAAGATACAGTTGGCAATTGGATTCTTGGTAACCCTTCGCCTCTTATTCAAGCCTCTCTCGCTCGTACACCTGCCAATTCAAAGTCTAGATGGATTCGCTCCCTTGCGTGGCGTCCTTTCCATCTGTAAGTTAATTACTCAATTAATTACCAGTATGATATCTTTCCCTATCTCCCCCTTAGATTGGGTCTATCAACACATTTTGAATTGAGAAAAGCGAAACTTGTGTTTAGTTTTCACTTTGCTGTTGGTTGTTCTAACAACTAGATTTGCTCCGATTGGTGGTGAATCCATAATGCCTATCTTAACAGGCTTCCAGTATACTTCAAAATTATTTTATGTTCAAAGCTTTTGACTATCATCTGTCATTAAATTGATTGCAATATAGTTGATAAATTTTACTAAAATTGAATTGATCGAATTTATAGTGTATGCAACATATGATCATCTGAGCTGATATGCGGTAGAAAAGCAAGAGGTAAGAAGACATCGAAATGGAGGAAATCGCTTATCGTCACAAATTGTTACGTGAATCAACTTGAAGTAATTTCTACTAGCCTTACTAGCTACATAACCCTATTAGTTCATTTATCCCCTCCATTGGCATAATATGATTTCATGTCAACGGTTGATGTCACTTTATTATTCATCCAACCGTTGTTCAAATCGTTACTCCTACCGAACCTCATTATATTCCATGACCCCGTGTTTTCTGCACCCTCTAACCTTAATTCCTTTCGGACTGGCTTAATCCAGTCACATAAACTGAAATGCCATTGTCTTCTCTCACCTATTGCGTAATGGGATCTACTTGTTTGGAAGACTGATTCGTTTTCAGTGACAAAATCATAATTACATTTCATACCATTAGCGTAATGAATCGATTGTAGTGTTTGTTCACTTGTGTCTTTCAGTTAAATAATAAATCTCACTGGCCAAGGGTGTCTGGATACGTTTTTCTTAACATAAATGTTTTTATCCATTGTCCATAGCCATCCTGCATTTTACTGCCAAGATGACTGTTTTCAAATACATTTGCATTTTCATTGTATTGACGGTGATGTTAACTACTTTAATCTGACTCCATTTCATTCACAATCCTCTCCCCATAATTTATTTTAGCTACTTCTCTTTGATAGTCGATAATTTGTTTGTTATGCCATTCTAATCTTTCCGTTCGCTTTTTCAGAGATCGAGACTGTCGCCTCCTGGCTGCTGCTTATCAAGATACCTCAATAGTAATCTGGGATACAGTGACGGGTAAACCGGAGCGTATTCTCTCAGGTCATGAGAAGCCAGTTACATGTCTACGTTGGGGTGGTACCGATCTCATCTACTCCTCAAGTCAGGATCGTACCATTCGCGTTTGGCGCAGTACTGATGGTGTTCTCTGCAGACGTTTGGATATGCATGGACATTGGGTCAACTGTCTGGCGCTAAGTGTAGACTATGTGCTGCGAACTGGGCCTTTTGATCCTGCGGACTCTGTCTTAGTTAAACCCATTATTCCTGCGACAGCTCAAGGCGAGGAAAAGAGTAAGACATTAGGTTCAGCCACTTTTATCAAGAGTGCTATATCTTAATTTTGTTCTATTGATAATTATTTACCTTTCGCATTAATTGCACTACTCGAACATCTGCGAAAAGTAATTCTCGGATAACAAAAAAGTTTTTGCAATATTTTCGAAAATATAATCGTTTTTTTCTACTCCCATTTTTTTCATAAAAACAATAACTCAAATAAAGTATGCAATGTCTGCTTGTGTAGAAGAGGTGAAAAAATAATTTATCGGCTTTTTAGTGCGGCGATGAATAGACACTAAGATAGATAGCTTGAATATGGCTATTGCTCTCAAACGGTATTTGCTAAGTAAAATGATAATCACACTAACTGCATCATTGTTACTTGGTCAATAGAACTTGGAATTAGTAAATGCGACATTTACTTTAGCTGAGTTACACCCTGATCATTGAAGACAACTGCAATCTTCTTTTCCTTAACCCCTTCATGGTTGCTATGATTTTCACTATTCATCATTGTTTCTTCTTTATTTTAGGAGAACTGATGCGGTTACGTACAAAAGAGCTTTACGAGAAGGTCAAAGTAAGTTATCCTTAAATTTACTATTATTATTATTATCAGTTTAGCCAATAAGCAACTACAGTTTGCCTGGTGAATTGGGCATCTCATCTTGTTTTGGTTTTCATGCTATGTCCATATCATTACGTGAATGTACGAACAATTGAAGCATGCTATGATTAAAAAAATTTTTCCCAATTTTATATTCATGTTCCATAAGACTGCAATGCTGCCGTTTTTGTGGATTTTATGGAAATATAAATAAAGTTAAGAAAACCTGATGCTTCAGCAAATAAAGGCGCTATTAAGATAACAAAACCAGAATGTCCGCCTACTCTTGTAGACAAATTTAAGCGCATCAATAAGTATTGATATTTCATTAATTCCACAGGGTAGTGGATCAGAGCGCATGGTTGCGGGTTCAGATGACAATACCTTATCCCTGTGGACACCAGAATCCTCAAAGAATCCTATCTGTCCACGGATGACCGGTCATCAAGGAGTGGTCAATGATGTGAAATTTTCTCCCGATGGCCGACTAATTGCTAGCGCTAGTTTTGACCACTCCGTCAAAATCTGGGACGGACTCACTGGGCAGTAAGTTGAGATCCTAAACTATTATCACTGATCGCCATTGTTACCTACAGTAGACCTACCTGTTAAACCTATTAACTTCCATTTGTAATTTAATTAAGACTCAAAATTGGCTTGAATATTCCAAGCAATCCTAATGAAATATTTGCGAAATATTTTCGCTCGAAGTTGACTCAAAAGCTTCATTCGTCGATTATTGAACTTCAAGGCTTTCGTATCTGAATATTCAAGATCACTATTGTGCCAATTATCCGCTATCCAAGCAGTTAATTGTTTACGACTTATCTACTTAAGATATTCTTAGATAACTGCTGTTTGGAGTTACGAGTTTTCATTCTTCCTTTATAATGAGTAGTTGCAGCCTTTCAAGGTACAACTGGGCGTTTTAAAAGGTAAATTAAAAGCAGCTTTGTTCCCAATCCAACTTATTTTCATCTTTTTTGGAAGAACTACTTTTTATAGCTTCTATTAAACTATTATCTATCTTGCTCAATAATTAATGACTTTTGTTAGCATCGCAGTCGAATTTAGTCATATATCAATTTTTATCTAGCTTTAAAGGGATGAGATTTCACTATTGATTCCTGAAATTTTTTAGATATCTTATCTAGATGAATATTTTCACTTCACTTTTTCAGTTATTTATTCTCTTATTCACTAGATCTTTAATCACCTTTAAATCCCATGCTTCTAGGTTTCTAGCCACAATGTTCGGCCATGTTCAGGATGTATATCTTGTTACCTGGTCCAGTGACTCGCGTCTCCTTGTTTCGGGTTCGAAGGACTCCACACTGAAGCTCTGGACCATGGCCGAGGTGCGTCGTTGGGGTCAAGAGGCCTCGGTCCAGATGAGTAAGGCCAAGAAGAGGAAGGTGGATGGTGGTGGTTTAAAACAACCCCATCAACGTAAACGTCACATTCTGCACGACTTGCCTGGTCATGCCGATGCTGTATATGCTCTGGATTGGAGTCCAGATGGGCAACGAGTTGTTTCTGGTGGCAAGGATCGCGTTCTCAAAATGTAAGTCCTCTTGAGAATAATTTTCTCATGCTTTCCTGTTTGAAGTCCACTTATTTTCTTAGAAAAAATATACTGAGCTACTCACTGTAGGTCTTATTTCTTAATAAACCTGCGAATTAAAACGCCCCAGTGTACCCAAAATAGAAAAATGAAAGAATATTGCTTTAGACAAGTTTTATAATTTGTTCCGGATAGTTGCTCTTGAAACCTCGAGGCCTGATATCAAATTTGGGTCAAAGAGGGGGAATATAGATTGATGTGAGTATATTAGGTATCTATTTCATGAACAACAGGATTCTATTTTCTAGCATAATATTTGCCAATTAATGGCGAGCTTAGTTTAATTTATTGGCTTTGTTGGTTTTGACTATTTTTTTATCTCTAGGTGGCGCTCGTAGGCGATTCAATCAATAAACCCGTCGATCTGTACAGAAATTGACTAGTATTTGGATCAATCAACGTTTGTGTATATGGTGATATGAGAGATTATGAATGCAAATTTGTTTTTCTGATTTTAATAATGGGGTTGAATTAATAATAGGGAATAACTTTCATAGATCAGTAGAAAGGCATTGGAAATTCAGAACCCATTATTCACTTCGACTTTTGCAATTGATGAAGGTCGTCAAGTGAGAACTGTAGTTGAAGAACTAATGGAATAATCAATAAACAGTGAGGGCTATTGTTCAGGATTACGGCAGATTAGATTAACAGGACCCCAAGGACGATTCGTCATTTGTTCAAATATTATGAATCATGGTTACCCGGAAATATCTGATGGAGTGTCTGTTTGGTAGGAAATTTAATACCTTTTTAGCCCGTTTTGGTAGATTACACTTCATGAGCACAATAAAGAAATCCTTACTTTGGTCCAACTGGTATAATTATTCATAGCTAAAGCAGATAGCTTGGAAATTTCATTAAACGAAATCTAAGCTTGCTAAAATGCACGTTATGTTAGCGGGTGGCTACTTAATTGGGAGGTGATTGTAGCATCAATAGTCTGAAACAGTCTACATTAATCGAAATTTTTTACATGGCATTTTGCGACATTTAATGTAATATCTTTGTACTAATGTATGAAAGATACAATTATTAAAACGTAGATGAATGGTCATAAAAAGACAAGTAAATCTGTAGATAAGATGATTGTTTAAAAATGGGGGGATCTCAAATTCTAGCATTCACTAAAATCATTGTGGCTAGCTTTCTGAATATAGTATAAAGTAAAAACAAAATTATGAAACATAATAAAATTTTACTAAAACTAATTTTTTTGCAATGTATTCAATATAGACCATTTTTATATAAAATTTGTTATACTTACTAGATTAGATTTTGGCTATTGGGCCGCTCTATTCAAATGCATTGGCCTTAGTGGATTTTGCCGGTTTTGGTGCAGTAAATTTAGCTTTATTTGCAAAATTCGTATTCATTTTTCACTCCTGCAGCTATATTATGAATTTTCAATTTTTCTGAGTGGGCGCTCTTTGTTTTAAACTTGCGCTATATTTTCGCTTGAGCTTCAAATCTATTCAAGGAATTACAAGAAAATCAATTCGTTTTTACTTCGATAACCCATTAGCAGATTGCCATTGCAATATTTTTCTTTGTTGCCCTTTAAATGAGTCAATCGAAGCACGGATCGCATGAGTCCCTATCTCCAGAAGATTGTGACAGATTGGTTCTTTCTCCTCCCCCGGTCCCCCTCAATCCTATTAAATTAAGGGAATTTCTTTCTGTCAACCGCGCTGTCTCGGCGAAATATAGTCTTCATTCTGTTCAGGCATCTGAGGGTTCTCCTCCCATGCCCAGACATGCTAGTGTTGCTTGGTCGCGGAGTGAGTTTGATTCAAAGTTCAAACAATGTAAGTAATGTTCTCTTGACCCATTTTCATATGAGATTTTGAAAAATCTACTATTTAGTTTTTACTAGATGAATCTGAAATGAAATCGGCTTCCATCTCTGAGGATCTTCCGGATGTTCACTTAAAACGAATTTCTCTTGAGCCCACAAATGCTTCTGAACATTTTTCTTCTCCCGTCCCTATTTCCCTTTCCGTGGAAAATCCAGAGCCCGCTTCGGCCGTAACTCCCCAAAAGTCCGCTTTAGTTTCTACTCCCTCATCACCTTCTCAATCTCGCTGGCGACAACTTCTTTGTTGTGTACCCTCCCGTACCAAAATCCCCGAATATCCACCAAATCAACGACCTATTCTTGCACGAGGTGACTCTGATCATGCGACCACTAAAAAATCCTCTACTGTTCCGGAAGCTCATACTAAGATTACTAAGTCATCAAAGTGGACTGGTCTCTTCAAGAAATCTAAAAATGTTTCTGCCGATATCAGTACAAATGGCAGCAAAAAGTCCACGAAAGTGGAACTGCGATCGGTTAAACTGGCCCCTCAAGCGGCCGATGAACGCCTCAAATCACCAGCTCCCGCTCTTCTCATAACTCGACACGAAGCAAATTCTGCTGGAATTACTATTACCTCTACGTCGGATAATTTCCATTATAGGGGGGAGAATGGCGTGGCTGGTTACCATGTTAATCTCGATGACCGAATGTCTGAGTCGGTACATTCTCAGGATAGTCAGCAAAGCGATGATTCTTACTTGGAACCAGTTGATCAGGTAAGCTTTTGTTACTCTGCTTTCATTATCAAATTGGCATCTCTTTTACCTTTGTGTGATTGACGGTCGTATTTGTAGGTGTGCATGTTGTGTATGAACTTGGGAAATGGGCTGTGTATGCGCTCTTGTTCCTAGAGTTGTCTTGAACAGTTGTCCAAAGAAATCATGTGCCCATGTCTACAGCGTATGTCAATTGAGGTAGAAGGAAGTAGAATTTGCTGATTAATCATATTTCTTATGCCCACATGCGTACGCGAATACGGGCGCATGCTTGGTCAACAGCTTGCCCTATTTATTGTTGCTATTTCTGAATTTTAACACATTTTAATACTTATTTTCTCTCTTTTTCACATTTCTGTATTATTGAGCGTTCTATTCTAAAGGCGTCTGTTGCTTGTTTCGATGCCTTCAATTGTTGGACAGTGATTGCGTATTTACTCTCGCTTCAATCTAAGTTGACCACTAGATGACTGAATGGTTTGTTATTCCCTCTTGTTGATTTATTATTTTGGTCAGGATTGTTTTGTTGTCTTAAAAAATTTCAATCTGACCCCGTCTTTTTTATTCCGCGATTCATTCTTTATTTTTTTGTGATTTAGAAGTGTTTTTCATTTTGCGTGAATTGAAAACGGAAAGGTTAACTTTATTAGCCCACTTTTCTCATTTCCTTAATGATTTATCAACAACCATTTCACGGCAATGTCGACTTTTTCCTTTTGGTTGAATTAACTGGCCATCACTACGGTCCCATACTTTTGGCAATGACATAACATTTAAATCACATGTTGAAAAGTCTTATGTGCATACTGGCTCCCTGTTGTGCCAAGGCCATGTCTAATCCCCCCCCCCCCTCCCCCAAACGGTGCGGAGATCACTACTGCAGGATTATTAATATTACTATTTTGTGGCGCCTGGACCACCTGGTCCAGTGACTCATCGCCCACTTGCTTTCGTTCCCCCCTGCCTATTTCTTGCGACTTTTTTTCGTCCAGGGTATTCGCTGGGTCTTGCGGTTAACTGGATTGGTGCGGTAATTTTGGTAGTAATGAGTTTCGTGCATACCTTAGTCTTTCCAAGTGCTATTTTTCTCGTGATTTCAAAGTTATCTATTATCTCTTCGCTTTCATAATCCATTTAAGGTTTCGTATGCTAATGGTGTATATTGTAGCTTTAGTAGGATAGTGGATGTGTTGGGAATAACTTGGGAGTAGTGAAATACTTTCCAAGTTGTCAGATTGGCCTACATGTATAAACCGGCGTTCTTTTAGAGATGTCTTAATTAAGTTGGCCTTGTCTGAATTCTTTGTGCCACTTCTAGTTTCTCTTGGTATTTTATTGCTTTCCAGGGCTTTTTTAACGAGAGCATTAAGTAGAGGCTTCACAGTCGTGTTTGTAGTCATTTGTTCAATGCGCTTCCCTTGTGCTATCCGTCATGCTTTAGTCTTTTCATTTGTTCAATTTCGTGATTTCCACTTGATTAATTAGTAGATCGCTCCTTTACGCTCTACTTCTGGATACCAGCTTTCTTAATCCAATTATGGTCTAATACGCAAATGATACACGCTGTATTAGTAGCAATAAAACATTGATTGATTGATTAATTAATACAGCCATCGTGATTGAATTGTGGGCAGAACTCAGGTAATGTAATTGTTGTTGGAAAGGAAAACTGAAGGCTGATCAATTTTTTGCTAAGTGATGCAGGGTTGGCACGCACATTGCCATATTATTTCTGACTCAATGGGTTTCTTTTGAACCTTTTTGATTAGCATTTACCTGCCCTCCAAAGTAACCTTTTTTAATAGAAAAAATATGAAGCAGATATTTGTTCCAAAGATCTTCCGAAAATCTCGTTCGGTCAAACTTCGTGTACATGATTTCTCCATGAGATATTTAATCTGGGGTTTAATGTATGTTCAACCAGCCTGTATTTTTTTAGTTTTCTTCTTTGCTCTAAATGGGTGCTGGAAAGTGTGGTCCGAATTCCCATGATATTGTCTATCCATAAATTTTATTCTATTTCTTAGCATGTATTCATTTTGAATTTGTTCTTAATAAATCATCTCCTTTTATTGAATTCGATTTGACTTACTTTTATCCTCTTGTCACAGTTGGAGAATTTGGACATTCATGGTTTGTTTGTAGCCGAAAGGTTTGACATTGCAAAATTCACACTCCTCCTCGACGAAACTGCCCACTTTTGACTGGCACGCGTCAAAATTTAAGCAAAATTTCACAGTATCGCAAATCGTTCGCATTTGATTTTTTTTCTATACCATTGTTTAGGGCTCTTCTTATTTTATCACTAATCCCTTCAGACAAAAGTCATTAGTCTCCTTTATAATCTCTCTCATGTGTGTGTGTGTGTGTGTAAATGTGTGTGCGGAGAAAATACGTGATAATTTCGTAGGTATGTGGGTGTAAGAGAGTTGTAAGTATTAGAGGTAATGTGCTGTGGTGTTGGTATTTATGTGCCTAAAATACAACACGGCGCACGCACGTTCTGGCGGGCTACGCTCTTGCCATAATCCTCCTCCTCCAGAATGCGGAGAAAGCCATTTAACTAGCATACTCACCTATATGACTTTATAAGGCCTCTTGCATTTTTCTTTAATAACTCCCTTGAAAGACATCGCTTCTAGTGCTGGATTAAGTCACTTTGTATAATTTATTGCCTTTAATGAGCGAATAATTAATCTGTTTAAATCAAGAAACCCATTGAAAACAATGGGATCGTAGAGATTCTAACTACTTCTCTTATGGATTTGAAATCCGGTGATGTCAACTTCCATTAAGATAGGAGTAGAATTCCGCTATTTTAATGAATTTTCCTATAGTTATATCCGTGTGCTTTAACAGCGCATCTATTAACGTTTGTCACGTCAGTGGTCACAGGATCGATATCCATTGATGAACATCAAGTGACACACAGAGACTCGGATCCTAATCCTCCCAGTGCTAAACCAAGTTTCTGTCAATAAAATTTAACTTAAGAGATTAATTTGAAAAAAAGTAACTTAAATTATTCTCCTTATTACTCTCTTATTGGTGGGTTTTAAATTATGATTTAACCAAAATCAAGGTTAAATGAATTCTGGTGTCTCGTGCACCAAATGTTCCCAAATGTGAAATGTTGGGAATGTATAGCTTACCACCGTCCTAGTTATGACCTTTATTTTTGACCTCAGCAGTCATCATCAATAACGCTTGCGCCAAATTGTACTTACTTTGGTAGCGAAAGCCGGTTCTAGTAATTTTCGTATTCTCGGGCGTTTGATTGTGGTCGAAGTTTGGGCTCCCAAGTTCGTTAGTAAACTCCTACTCGACCGCCAGATTTTAATTCAAATGAATTTTAAATGGGTATTCTGGATTCATGGCTAAAATTGCAGCCACCTTGATATATATATACCGAAAGTGTGAACTCCTACACTAAAGTGATTAATTATTCATGGAAAACTCATTTACGCACTTTTAATCTGTTAATTGCCCAATGTCTATGAATTTTTTAATCATCTAACTATAGAGAATCGGGAAACCATCGGTTGTATGAAAATTGGCACATTCAGCATTGACTTCCCCTTATGCTTTTCTCTCACTGTGTGTGTGTGAAATTCTTCTCTTTGAAAACATGTTCTGGCGTGATGTGATCCCTATATTCCACGCAATAGCAATTTCATCAAACGTAACTCGATCGATGGATGTGCTCTGATCAAGCCTCTTAATTATCTTATTTCAGTGCATGCGTGTGAAACAACCACCCAATGGCATTTTGGAATGCTTGGCATGCATCGCGATTCTACATTTTTTCTACTCTAGGAGCCATCAGTCTATTCATTTCATGCTAAAGAAATCAACAGAGTGAGAGAGAGAGAGTAAAATAGCATTATGTTTCCGGGTTTTGTTTAAATCTCGCAGAAAATTCTATCTTTGTCTCATTATTAATGAAATAAGAAATTGTTATCAGTATTAAACGAGATGGAAATAGGGTAAGTAAGCAAGTAATCGTCGAGGTTTTAAATGGAAGTTGTTTATGTGTCAGAAGGCTATGCTTGTACTATGTGATTGTTTTTTTTTATTTTAGGCGAATCCTGGAGAAAATTTATTGGGTCAACCATCTCCCGATTGCATTGGGAAAAAGTGCCTTGTTCTTGACCTTGATGAAACCCTGGTACACAGTTCCTTCAAGGTGAGAAAACACACACTGTTTAACCACTCTACTTAATTTCCTCAAACTCGCAAAATACACGCAGTTCGATTTGACATGCAGCATGCTTGCTTCTAGTGCTTGAAATAGCCTTTTTAAACAAAGCATTCTTAACCCATGAATGAATCGGTTTAGGAGGGATGATAAAAGAAACGGAGTATTGTAGTTTACATTGGTCAATAACAACGAGACCGTTTTCTCCTATATAAAATTACAACGAACATAGCATTTATAAAAGTGTAGTATGTATTAATAACGACAAGGGAGAAAGGTACTCTCTAGTCAAGCAAATATTTCTATCAAATGACAGGCGTTTTGATGGTTATCATTAACCCTTAAGTTAACTTCAGACTTCACAGAGTGGAAGGAACATCAAAGTGAAAAAAAGTCGAGAGGGGGGGGGGACAGAAGAATGTTTCAAAGACGAAGGTAGAAAAAGGTGGGGTGAGTACTGTGAAAGTAGTCAAATATGACATACAGTGGGGTGATGGTAGTTTGAAGTTAGAAGTCAACTGCCGGTCAATAGACTCTTTTGCCGTATGAGTATACGTTGCGCAGGGTGCACCACGTAGAGGTAAGTCTATCGCACACCCCAGTCAAGCAAATATCATTACACTAGAAACGACGGAATATTTCGAATGGTTAATGAAATGAAAAAGGCAGGGCACAGTTCATTGCATCTTGACCCAGTATTCCAAAATTTTAGCCCAAGAATATGTTCATAGGTGGTAGCTTGTGGCCACGACGCTTAGAGCTTGCAGACTGGTTGGCCGATGCCATAAAGGTACACCTGTCTCCGCACAAAGAATAGCTATAATACTAATAATGCATCATTTGGAATTTCAGCTTATCTTGCAATTTAATGCAAAATTCCATTCGAAATCCGTTTTCTGTCTATTTTCCCACTTACTACTCGTTTTGTTAGCTTCCTTTTCTAGCCTTTATTGTGACAAAGTAAGTTCACACTGATTCAAATATAAAGTTCAGCACTTGGATACAGAATTTTCGTGTGCAAATGCGGTTATAGTTGTGACAAATAACACAAAAACGACTGCTATTGCTAGGATACATCTTTCAAGATCTTGTAGCCTGTCTGACGTTTAAAATCGCAACTTCACAGTATTCAAAGTGAATAGACACTGAACTATTTCTGGTTGTACTCTAGTCTGCAAGTTGAAGCCCGAAAATCATTGGGTGTGCTAGTGTCATGGAGAAATTGGAAATGCGATGTGTTGATTAAAATAAATAGTTTTTGTTTCAAAAGCGAACACTACAATACAATTAGCACAAATCTAAATATTCAAAATTCCAGAGTCCTCGCCCCTTTTGAGGTTTTGGAGTAAAGCCTATTAGCTAGGCGGCTACGTGCTATTATTGAATTCTGTGTCTGTGGCACAACAGAATAAAGATTAACACCTAACCATTATAGCAATCGTTCCTTCAATGCCACAAAGTAATGAGTTGTCGGGAGATGTCACTCACTACGCAACGTCTCATGATAGAAATCACTTTAGCACTAAAAATTTACGCCCTTCATTATTAGCTTTCATATTGTTTATACTTTGTCCCAGTGTTCATGAAATAATGCTTTGGTTTGTTTATACTAAACGTTGAATTCCATTTTTTTTCTCCTCTCCTGCCATCTTTCCTTGGATGATGCATGCTCTCTCATTTTCTTTCCCCTATTTTCCATCCCAAATCAAATATTATCTTATTTCTCGCCAATATCTACTCTGTAATGCGTTTGACTTGATGTAAACACTTTATTATCAAGGGCTCATAGTTGAACTCATTAGTTCCTTGTGCTTAGTGGTCTGCTTGGTTTAATTTGAGTTCTAGATTGTGGTATCACGTTTTCTAGGCTATGTGCCAGTGCACGATCGGTGGTTGATATTATTTACCGTCCTGATTAATGTTGATCGATGTAAGAATGTGAGGAAGAGTTCAGAATGCTAATTTCCTTACCGGCTCATTTCTAAGATATTTTTCGTCGCTTGAAACTAATGGCTAAGAGACAGCTTATTTCGTGTCGTATTCAAGTGTACACATTTGTCAACTGATTGATCACAAGCTGAAAGCTTACCCAACCAGTGATGTGCATGACTAATAGTGCTGAATACGTCTGACCAGTAAGAAAGAAATGGCGTAACGCGAGTTAGTGCGGTCACAATATACCTCCAATTTCCCCTACCCAATAGGTTTTGGACTTGCTGAATGTCATTAATCATTTTGTTTTTCTGTCTCTATTTCAGCCCGTGGAAAATGCGGACTTTACGGTGACAGTAGAGATTGAGAATGTTCAGCACGAAGTGAGTCATACGCTTTAATGCTATCTTATTTAAAAAACTTCCTTCTCGCCGCGTCACGAAATAAGCGGATGTCTGTACTTGCTCTACATTTGTCTGCTTCTGTTGTAATTATAGGTGCTTGTTGTTCAAATATTTCAGTTGGGCATATTTAATGCTACTCTACGCTGAATAGACAGTGGTAATAATTTATCAAACTTCTTAGAGCTTTCAAAGTAGAAGAATCTTGCAATAGAGTGGCATTTCGATTGAAATGAGAAAACCTATAGAAACTCTTCATATAATGTACTGATCAGCTGCCATTTGCGCGTTTTTTACTTTGTATGGAGCACTCACGCACACACACGCACACACAGTTCACTTTATCTACTTTGTTGTGTTGGCATTCACAAAGGTCTAGGTTGAGAGCAACATTTTAGTATCCCATACAAGTGAATATTGTTCTATGATTTTATTCGACTGTGTTTGACCTTTGTTCAAGACTTTAGTCGAAGAACCTAGACAATATCGTGTTATAAAAAGATTTGGGTTAATCTTTTATGGCTCTAGAGGTATAGCATAAAGAAATAAATAGCTTGTTTGCATTCTGCATGTATTACTGCCTAATAATATACATTCTCTAAAATAAGCATAAGGCAATATCAATGAAGTGACTTCTAAGGTATCATCTTTTTCATATCAATTTAGATAATTATGTATCTTTGATTTTAGATTTCCTTAGAGAGGAGGTTAAACAATTTTATTTTTACCCCTTCATATTGTGATTTTGTAGTGTGAATAGGAAAGCAGTTTGTCATAATTAGCGTTCATGTGCATATTGCTCGTTGTCCACATTACATGACAATGTCGCTGCTATCAATTATTCCACCGCAGTTTCCATTTCTCCAATGTGTGCGTGTGTGTGTGTGTCCGTGACGATGATCGACAAAGAGACACAGCTGGACTTTAGCGCGTCACTTCTTATCATGAAATGTGTTTCGAAGTCTACAAAGTACTGTTTTCCGGTGGTGTGGTAATCTGTTTACATGTGCATCAAATCAGAGGCCACGAGGGTAATATCTACTGGTGCTCATCTGATGATATAGTTAGCCAGTCACAATAGTTGATACCAGTTGTCATCAGAAGTAAAAAAATTTGAGTTCATTAGAGCATTTATAGAGTGATTTTTCTCTTCTCTCAATATTTCACTTACCAGTCTTGGATGGTTTTTTGAGCGGTAGGAGGCTACTTAAGTCCAGCTATTTTGGAGCTAATGGACCACAATAGCTTTAGTCCTGGGCAAATCAGTAAGTGGCCTCAATGCTAACTGCAAATACACGAATAAGTCTTTAAAACATGTGTTATATGCTCTCAACTCAAATCCAGCAAATTCGCCTTGTTTATAGCAATGTAAATATGAAAAATTATATGATATTTTATCGATTAGAGTAACCCAAAATTCTCCCTGTTTGTTAGTTTAAAGCAATTATTTTTATCCAAGAAGACTAAAGTTGACAATTGCGTTTTTTTAAATGGACTACACAAATGTTAGCTAACACTTCAATAAAACAACAAGGATGTAGATAATTTATAAGAATGAACTCGAAAAAGAAGTCCATGAAAACTAGAAGTTTGCGTAGTAATCGCCATTCACAGTTATGGATCAGGATGATGTGAGAAGACAGATTAAATGTGCAAATTAATCTCGAAATGAAATGCCTCTTGACGTGGATGGATTATTGGGTGATGTCGTCCCCTCTTAGAATACAAATGGCCCGTCCTATCAACCATTCTGTTTTTTCCCACATCTGAATGGTTTGTTACTTAAATTTAACTAAAGAAGCATTGAGCAACAACTTTATTAAATGTTCCGATTAAATGTTTAGTGAACAATTTTATCGTATAACTGTAAACTGCAAGCTATGTTGGAAATACTTGCAAAGGAGCGATATTCAGAATGAGCTAGGTTAAAGTGAAGATTTGTCAATTCGAGGGAATTGCAGAAATCATCAAGACGGAGAACCAACAGACTCTGTGTTAAAATGAAAACTAGAATTAATATACCCGCTCCATAACTTTTTGTAAATTTGATTTTTTTACATTTTTAATGGTCAAATCAGTTTAGATTTATTTAAGAATCAAGTAATAGCAAACAAACGATTTACTGTAATAATCAAACCGTTTCTTGAAATTGGCGCGGATAATGGAGAAAGTGGCGTCTATGGTAAAATGGAGGTTATTGAGTGCACTTGCAACGACATAAACAATTTTTAAACTATTCCTTATTACCTGGAGATAGAGGAGACTACATTGCAGTTACTTCAAGATAGTTTATTCACATGCTTTATCATCTCTATCTTCGCGCTCTACCGACGAGGGAGAAATTCATGAACAGATGGATTTGATTGTGCTTTTGACCTCCCATAGTATTGGCGCAGTGGCTATACTACATTTCCCTTAACCCCACAAGGCATGGTTCGGAAACTGGTAGTGTCAAATTGTCACACAAATCAATTTGCTCCTTCACTTTATTTGCTTCCGATATCACTATTTTTGTCCGGTTTCTTGGATCATCTTTATTACATTTCGTAGAATAAAAACTTGATTTATACATTTGCACACATTGGGGCTGTCAAGCCAGGGTTATGAAAGGCAGGGAGACAGGGCGGGGGGGGGGGGGGGGGGTTCGGAGTGAGAGGCATATGAAGTACTCTTGACAGCCTTGCGAGTTATGCACCCATTTTCTTTTTTCAATCCCACTGAATCGTAGCGCATCGTGGTAGCGGAGGAAGATGGCTGTTTTTGCTAGCCTTTGCGTTATCTTCCTTACTTGTCCTGTGTGTTGAAGCCAAATTTAGTGACATCATTTCATTCTCCCTTCCTTTTTTGCACGTGTGTGCGTGTTTGCTTGTGTGTGAATTCTAGTTCTGTGAATTTTATTAATTTAATTAAAATTTGTGCCTTTGCCTTGCATTTGATCTACAGGTATCGGTATGCAAAAGGCCACATCTGGAGACTTTTATCGAAACTGTGGGTCCGCTTTTCGAGGTTGTCATGTTCACCGCGAGTCTCAGTAAGGTGAGGAGAATTGTTTCAATTTACTTCTAACTTCCACTCCTTTCATGAATAAGACATTAGAATAGGCCTTAGTTACATTCCTATTGTATTGGTTGGTAGTAATACCGATGACAAAGTAAAATATTAACAGGCAAACTGTCCAAACAAGGCCACCAGTGAAAGGTGGTGGTTCAACAATAAGCGAAGGGGAGGGGGATAAATAGAGCTGTGGAAACTTTTAAATATCCGGAGAATGAGTGAATACGATGTTCAAAATTTTGCCTTTCCCGCTCGGTGTTTATTGTTGTCGTTTATCGCTGCAATTGCGTGACTGTCTCCTTTATTCCTTTTCTCGAATAATAAATTTTAACCCGACTTGCTAAAATTATGGTATAGATCATTGTCTTCTCCATTAGTTACATTTTTGTCCATCTATTTCCTCATTAATATAACGATCTTCAAGTACTTACATTGAAATATGCTCTGGCTACATCAACTCAGACCCAATGGATTTCTCGCTCTTGGAAGCCTTCTGCTCGTTTGAAAAGAAGAGGTAATTGATTGCACATAGCAAAGAAACTTATTGATTAATTGGCTGCCCTGACGGTAAAGAGTTTCAATTCACGACTTAAACGGGAAGGAACTTTAAGAGGAGGGTTCGATGCCCTTGGAATAAATGCTATTCATAAAGTTTTATGAAGTCTGGTGTAGTCTTTGCAAAATATTTAATTATCCAAAGATCATGCGGTTTTAATGGATTCCATTTACTTTCCTTTACCCAGTGGTCGACGAATTTGAGATGGAGCTTTGCCACTATTCTTTGTACAACCGAACCCCTCATGTTTCAACTGGTGTTTGCCATTATGGGTTCTGTGTCTTGTTAATATTGTTAGTATTTTTCCTTGCAGCCACTTGTTGGCTCTCTCACCTTTACTTTCTTCATAGTAAGGAATTTTTCCCTCCAATTCCTAATCGCTTCTTTTTCGTATAAATTTAACAATGTTGTTAGCACTTCGATTGATTCCCTCCCCCCTCCCCCCCTTTCCCCAAGTATGCACTTGAGTTTTGTGGATTTGGGTAATATTCGTGTGCCAGAAGGTATGGTTAATTAAATTAGCTCAAGTGCTTATTTGAGACTATTAAAGAATAGAAGCGCAAAGCAAATAATTCCGATATAATATGATCGCAGCACACACTTCCAGTTTTGCCTAAAATATACAATACTGCTCATATAACTCATAACTATTCTTAGCTGTTCAGTGATGATTGTGTGTTGAACCTCTCTTTCAGTACGCAGATCCAGTATGCGATCGGATCGATCCGGCTGGCCATTTCAAACATCGTCTCTTCCGTGAATCGTGCGTCTGCTTCAAGAGTAACTACATCAAGCATCTCGCCTTCTTGGGTCGAGATCTTGATCAGATTTGTATTATAGACAACTCTCCTATTTCATTCTACTTCCATCGACAAAATGCCGTAAGTTGTTTCTTTATGTCTTTTTCACTTGATTTATTGTCCATGTTCCAGTGGCGTAGCAGTCAGTAAAATGCCACGTTCTTTATTCCTATCGGGTAGGAGCGGCCAACCGCTCCAGTTGGCCCCATAAGATTTGAGTCGTGATTGCAGCAAGATTTACTTAACACCGTGACTAAAAGTCGACCTAGGATGTGAAAGTGTGAAGCAAGGCAATGAAAAGCTGATGGATTTATTGAATACGTGAGAATCAAACGTCTGCACTGCTGCCTGTGCGACTGATCTGTCGGTCATTGAGAAATGAGTTCCTAGACTAGCAAAGGCACTTTAGGCACATTGCGGGTCACTTGAGTTCACTCAATATGAATGCATTCCGTAGCTAAATGCCCACTTTGTTTTGTCAATAAACAGGACCTTAAAAAGACCAATTGACTTGCAACTGTCAGGTGCACTGGTCCCATTGCACGTTTGTCTTGATAATTCGATGGGAACGGAATTGTCAACCCCTCCGCCTAGTTATTATTTAAGAATTCAATGTCCCTATTTGACGCCTGTTCTTCTACATAAACTATTATTGAAGTTTGTTAATTAGATTGAATTTGTCATTATGCTCAGTTTCAGACCATTAGATTTGCGTGTGCATTAACTTCTTTCTCCATAATTCGCCTTGTCAAATATGTATGCGCGCTCTCACATGCTTGCAAGTCTCAAAAATTCGGCGTTAAAACTATTTTTTGCGCAATTAAAGTTGTGTGTGCTATCCACTGATGTCAATAAAAAATGTGTTCTGTCTGTTTGAGGTGGCAGTTGTTAGTGGGACAGGTTCCACGGTAGTTGGAACAGACTTTACAGTTAAGATCGGCCATTTAAATGACTTGTTTTGTGTTTTTAGCTTGTCTTCATTTTCTAAATCAAGTTTGTCTCTGTGCTCATTATTTTGTGCCAAAATTTTTATGCCCTAATTACTACTGCGTCTTTTAGGCTTTTCTTAGGTCCTTGTTGTAGTGTTTGATTAACGTGTCTACGAAATCTAGGATTCCAAATTAGATATTGTTCTTTTGTGTTTGAGTTTTTAGTCTATCTTGACAATTACGATTCAGCACTTCAACATATTTTCTTTGGAATAAATTGACTTGTTCTACCCTCGACCTAGTTACAGCAGCCTTCTAGGACATACCGGGATTTTACCTGGTAAATCGATTTTAAAAATGTATAGTTGTTTCTTGACCCTTGAAGGTCTAAATTTCAATCTCAAAATGAGCCTCCTCACAGTATTCCAGTGAACTTTAAGCTGGTTGTTGATCAATAAGACTGAAATCAAAAAGTCTCCGGTTAAGCGAATATGGAAATTTTGAGCATAAGTCAACATTTTTACTGCAGTACAGTACGGTGATAAGTCTTCCATCTGTCTTATTGTTGAGAGTAAATTTCGCTGCATCGCTAATCTAACGGTATACATATTCCATTTTCGTTTTCGCAGTTACAAATTGTGACCTGGTTTGATGATCCCACCGACACAGCCCTATTGGATCTCATTCCATACCTCAAGGGTCTAGCCGAGGCTCCGAGTGTGCTCGAATACGTTTCACAGTACGCACCACCGCCAACTGCAGCCAAGGCCCAGCCCGACATTTCTCCTTGGCTCTTTGGTGCTCCCGGTCTCGGTGGTTGGGGAGGCTACAACGATGAAGACGAGGAGGAATGTGAGACAGGGGCTGACGGTGAAATCAGCCTCCCTCTCAGGCAAGAGGGAGATGAGGAACCATGTAGTAACAGTAGCTCCTCGTCACCTCATAGCATCATCACTATGGCACCCAGACCCTCAGGTGAAGCTGTTACGGCAAACACTTAACAAATATGGTCCAGTCGCAATCTATCAATTGTCTTCCAGTCGTGCTCACTCCTCATCAACTTTGTCCTGTTCTCTCTTTTTTCTATCTGTGATGGTAAAAGTGTGTGTATTATATGAATATTATATGTGACTCACTTCCTCTCCTCCCCTCTTCTTGGTCCTATTTTTACTGACATTCTATGGAATTTATCTCTACACTAATAATGCTCAATACTCTTTTGCTCTTCCACCTTTTCGAACTTCTTTCTCTTTGTTGATTTTTATCTCTTCTCATTCCAACCCTTTGTAATACCCCGAGTTTGTCTTTCATTTGGTTGTTTGTTTGTTGATAGACGACACTTCGCCCAATGGTTCTGAATTCTCCTTTCTGGTGATAAGTATTTGTACATTGCATTTGCTTTGCTTGGGAATGAGAATGGTGAAGTGTTTATTCCTGAGATCCCTACATTCTTTTGAAGTAACCATCTGTCTTTTCTCTCTTGCCTTACCTACTCAACGTTTCTACTCTTTAAACTGTCTATCTATCTCATTCGCATCGTCCTTGAATTTGCAAAAATTAATATCGAAGTAAAATTGGCATTGATGTTTGCCACATTGGTTTTCTTATCTGATTGGCTGGTTACTAATCTGTCAGCTGTTAACTGACTTATTTTGTCAATTTGATCAAAATGTAGCATCAAATGTACTATTTGAGCTGAGCTCTCATATTAAAATCTATTAAAAGAAGGGGAAAGTTCCCATCTTTTACACAGGACTTTTATATGACTTGTGTTGCACTTATTGACTGCTGAGTAGAACTGAATAGATTAGTTTGTTTTTCTGATCCTAATTGCACTAAAGCATAGAAATTGAAGAAAGGGTTAGGAGGTGGGGAGGGGAAATTTCGTTTTTAGATTGACGTACCTGTTAATTGGTGTAGGCGAAGATTTCAGGTGGTGGTAGTATCGTTACTTCATTGGGCTAATAAGGCAATTCTACTTTGCGTTAGTAGCGTGAGGGTTAAAATTTACGTCTTGTACTTCTGGCTCGGATTTCCTATGATGCATAATCGTCGACAATGCTTGAGAGAGACTTGAATAAATTTATGTCCCTTTCAAATGGCTTGGAGATCATAGGTAGGCATGGCAGTAATATAGGTTTTATGTTTGTGATTTTGGAGTTAGCGTGGTTTGCAAAATTTTAACTTTACTCATTAATCATGAAGTGTTTATTTGAAGATTTGTAATACTGTGCCGATACGTTTCCTTATTTTTGCGAAAAGTGTACTTCATATCACCCTTCTTTCGTTAAGCCTTTCTAAGACCGGGTTGTATTGAATCCTTTTGATCGTAAATGCATATGAAAGTTCGAATCGATGATACAATTAGGATATATTATTAATAGGTGAGTAGAGGCTGGGGGATATTTATCATCTTTAATTCTGACTGCTTTTAATCTAGACCTAATTTGCTCCTTAGAGGCTAGAAGCACATTTCTGAAGTCAACTCGAAAGCTTGCAAAGTCAGAAGTGCTGAGATTGATGTCTACCGTGGACATTCAGTGTAGTGAATGACCTGTCTCCCTATTACGACCTGATTAGCGAGAGTGAACATATAGTGAGGGCTCAGCATCTCACTAGATCCGGAATATTTTCTCTTTGTAGGCGTTGACAGCAATTTCTTCTAAACTCAGGAGGCCATTCGTAACGAACAGACATAAGCTTATATTAAAGTTCTTATTGTCCTTATTAGTAAAGGTAAACCTTCCTCAATTTAAGAGTGATAGCCATAAATTCAAATAAAGAATGATAGGGAGAAGTAGGTTCAAGATTTGATGTCCGTTCGGTTTTGAGCTTTCACATTGACAAGATATTCTGGACGTAAGATACTCTGCTGCATTTATATGAGTTGGAGTTTAACCTTGATAAATATCGAGTAGGAAATTATACCGGATGCCAGTTTTCAGTCTCATAAATCCCAAATTGCTCTTTCATCCTTGTAGGACTAACAGTCCGACATATCCGATTTGTATAAGTGGAGTAATGTCTATTCTAATTTAATGTCTAAAAGGCAATGCACGTTTAACTTTTGCAGTTAATATTAAGTTAATTGATTCGCGTTATATGCGTGACAAATTATGCAGTGGTCTTGAAATTAACCAATAAAAAATACTCATATTGATTGAAGTAGTTTGAATAACCCAATAGATTCTGCGCATCTTAATGATAATAATTTGCATGGAAATTTGGGAGGAATTTTTTTGTTCTCTACTGCGTGATGAATGATAATTTCCATGCCCACATGACAAAGATGGTAATTGTCACGGTTTAATGAATTGGCTTGTAGCCACAAGTAAATTAACGCACATCTGTTGGCATCTCTCATCGTGGGCTATGCATGCGCTCATGCCCCAGATAAATGCCTAAATTTACGGTGGAAAGAAGTGAATTTGTTTCTCAAGTGTAAATCCACTACACATTAAAACCACTCTTTCTCAGAGGGTGTATCCATACATGCTCACGACCTTAAACACGAGGCGGGTTTGCCAACTGCTCTGTAGTTTGACCTCAAAGAAATGTATGCATAAATAATTTTATTTTTTAATCAATAGGCATTAGCTTTAGCACATGGCAATAGATATAGCTTGTTAAATTACCTAAAAGCATTCCTAGCTTTTAGGCTGTAACTGTAATAGTTTCATAGACAATGCAATTTACTTATCTACGCGTAGTCACACCAACTCCATATATATGCCTTTTTTCAGATCATTGCCCACATCAAAGCAAGAGAAAAGAGAGTTGAAAATTTCCCTGGACGGATGCTTTTATGGTGTCAGTATTTTAATTAAAAAAGTTGGATTGTTTGCCTGCGAAAATCGAAGTTCAGTATTTCACCTCCCCCCCCCCCCCCCCCCATAATTTCTCAATAAGGTTCCAGTATTCTAGCCCGGTAAACAATTGTTTGATTGATTGTTCATATCGATTGTTCTCAGAGCTCATCGCCCTGTTAGTGATCTGGTACCATCTATCCCATATATACAAATGCAGCTTCAAGCAAATGAAAATACTATTTCATTACTTGTTATATACGAATTCGCTCCTTTTAGCTTCTGTAGACACCTAGAAATCGGTTTAGGCTTTACCAACTGTCTTAGTTGTAACTGGCTAACTCCAGAATGGTTCCTTTCTGTATACCTGGTTGAAAAATATAATTTCCATTGACCCCTTTATCCATCACTACACTTATTTTATCAAATGACGATGCCACTGAATGTATATAAGAATGGTAGCATTAATTTAAGTGGCCTGATTTGAAAGGAGGAGGAATGATTATTAGAATAAAGTGACTAATTATTCAAGTTAACCTAATAAGCCTACCACCATCGTGTAGTAACCCCTGGCGCATTATATCGCGATTTTTCAAGATTCGCGCTCTGGTGATAACGCCAATATAAACAAGCGCCTATTTACAGTCACAAAAAACGCCTGAACACAATTGAAAGTGGAAAAGATTCAAATTGCATGAGGGAGATAAACGGGATGTCAAAAAGCCAGAGTGATGTCTCAATTGACCTTCCACTTCGCATGAGCCCCCAGCAATGGACATTCACAGCTACTTTGACTTAGTGTCTGCAACCAAATATTCCCATGGTTTTAGCTCGGGTATGCTTGATTTCCAGCACCCTTTTCACAAATTCATATTTGACTCTGCCTGGAAAATGCAGAAATTTGGAACGACTTGATTGCTTAAACACCAACATGACTTTGAATGAAAAGTGCACTATTTAATATCACACCAGGCTTTACTGTAAGGCTTTTGGAGGATATTTCATAGACGCCCTTAAGGAGAATTTTTCCGCCTTTGATCAGATCATGATTACAGTGACAATTGTAGAAGTGTTAACGAGGGCTTTATTAGCATTCCTTATTTTCGTTTCAAAATGACTCCAAAGGGATTAACTGACCGGGTCACTGGAATATGTCCTGAAAAATGAAATTTTTGTAGTTGATCAAAGAAAAAATGATCTATTTGGAACTAACTCAAAACTTTCCTAAAAGAAAGGCTAATTTTGCAAGAAAAACGCTTTATTTACAAAATATATAAATTAAAGTAGACAAAGACTAGGAATCAGTGGCCAGTATAGGAGGCTTCGATTCAAGCAACCCACGAGCAACAGCTCTAGCAATAGCTGTCTCCTTGACACCGGATATGCACCCCGACAGTTGGGTCTTGTAGTAGTCTGCAATGAATCTTTGACAGCAACGCACGGTACCACTCCGGTGAATCACATCTATCACCGCCGGCCTCTCCACGGACCCTAGGTAAACGGTAAAATAGTTAAATTACTTTCGGAGTTTCATTAACTGTTATTCTGAAGAAGAAAAGGGCCTACATTTCCAGATTTATAATTTGAAACATAAAAATTCAGCATTCCAAGAGTAAAACCCACCGTTAGAAAAAAACATTTGTCCAATAAATGCCAAAACGCAATATTATATAAGGTAACTCAGCAAATTTGTAGTCGTGAACGACAATGTCGACAGAAACTGAAAAAAGCGAACACTACCAATTCAACTTTCTCAGGACTTAAAAATGCTCTTGTCTTTTCAGTGACCAACTATGGTTTCTCTATATATGCTGATACACGTTCGTAGAAAATTCTCATGGTAACAGCCTAATTAAAATGAAAAAAAATAGAAATTTACATTGATTTCTTTTGCCCTCTAGACATTAAAAAATATTCACTCCAAAGACCACGATTTGATAAAAGGGATGCTTAAAGGATATATTATTCCATGACAAAGCTGTAAATCGATATTTGCGTTCTAAACTAAAACCAAGGTACTCCCAACAATATGAAATTTAAAAAGAGTACTTGACCAGCGATCGTAGTAAATATGCTGCTGAAGGAAGTGTCGGGAAGGGCACGGACATCGGGTTTTGGGCTTTGTCATCACAGTTAATTAAACTTTTGTTTTGCCTCTATCATGGAGCATACATATGATAGCACAACGATTCGTCTCCCCCCACCCCCCACCTGACATATCCTAGCAAAAGTCAAACGGTTGTCAACCCCTCCTAACAACTACACCAGTCCCGATATATGTTTAGC